CATACGGTGAGTTTCAATGAAAAAAAGAAAAAAAAAAGGGCGCGACGTATGAAATCTCTAATATATAATTATACTTATACGATACAATTGAAAGGAAGAGAGGAGAGCTGCAGATAATTACAGTTAGGTTTATGGTAAAAGAGCCTCAATCTCCTAGCTAATTGGCATTTTAATAGGAATGTCTGAGCATTTGGACATAATCTATTTAACATGTCTGAGAGCTGATGGAACTTTCAACCAGTGAATATGTGAATATGTAGAACTCATATTCAACCTTTGGCATTTTTGTCTGCATAATGAATTTTTTTTTTCATTTTTTTGGAAGAAAATAAAGGAATAATGATGTAAAAAATAATAAATAAGGATGTAATAGAAGATTATTCAATATTATCAATTTTTACGGATATTTCAGTGATCAATTCTTTTGACAAATTTCTACGTACATGCATAATAAATGTCGTTTAAAAATTTAAATGAAAATTTGTATCAAGTGAAATTGAGTAGAAATTAATTTTGTCAGAAATGAATAATTAAAAAAACGAAGCCAAAAGAAATATAAAAAACTGAGGAATTCTTTTGTAATTTTGAATCAAATAAATCGTACAGATTAATTGAGATTATATATTTAGTGAATTGTTAGTAATTCAAGTATTTTCTACAAGGAAGCTAACAAGCCTCAACGTTTTCTGCTAACCAGCTAATTTACAAAGAAATTAAACAGCTCTTGACGTAAGCACGAAATATCTCTGCTGTGAAGAGAAGACAGCTAAGTGGTTAACAGAATGCATAAAAATCAAGTGGCTAAGTAATGGAATTTAAAATGCATGACGTTAAACGTCACGCAGAATTGAAGTATGTTCAACGAAATTTGAACAGGCAAGTCGAAGAATAATACAGAAATATTCCATAACGACAATGCAGTATGCAATGCAGGATAATTTTTTACCAGCTCGAATTATTCATCTATGAATATGTATCAGAAACACATTTAACGCAATCGTATTTCTCACATCGCTTTCCTGCATCAATCTCGAATAGACAAAAGAAGCAACGATGTAATAATATTTTGTGAAAAGAAACAGAAACGACGTTTTTAATCTAAGAATAAATTGTATCTGAATAGAGAACTTGACTCGAATCAAAATCGATTCATGTATCGGAAACAAGTATCAGATACCTTGTAGAGGGAACGAGAGAAAGATGAGGAAGCAATAAAACTGATGATGAAATCAACACCACTTTCAAATCACGGGAATTCCAGCTTTTACATTTTTTTCAAGATCGAACTAAAATCAGTATCTATGAAAAACAGTTATCAATGTTTAAATGGAAGCACGATTAATCAATAGTTTCAACACTGATCAGGAAAGTCGTGAAAAATGAACTTTTTTCCTCGCTGACTCAGTGAGTAATTGGAACCGTCGATCTTGCTATCACTGATACTGCACACGAAATTTAAATACATTATACGACTAAACTGATTAAAACAGAAAAGCAAATTCGCTAGAAAATTTTATAAAATATATAAATATTACAAA